TTGTGTCCATTCAAACGCTTTTTCATTGTTACCCAAGGCGGTGGGTTTGCTAAGGACGCTCCCCTGTGTGCCGTTGGCAGTCTCATGCTATCGATATTATTTATGTTATGTTGTGTAACTGTTTAATGGTGTTATCTTTATTGCTACCCCCTTCCCCGTCAATTTATAGTGTTGGTCCACAGCGCAAATGTATTAGTTTAAAAAAATCCGCATCTAAAATTGTGGCATGGATACGTTATTTTCCCCTGTGCAATTCTCCATTTACTCAACAATAACACATAATTACCCTTGTGTTTATTTATTTGTTTGATTAATAAACACAAGTTGGAGTCCGTCAGGGTCGAGGGTCGGAGCAGCTCATTTGCTTTAGAGAATTTTACACCCGGATGTAAGTATTCTCTCCGCTTCGCTTGACAAACCCAAACCCCGTGATAGTCCTCAAGCTCTGTGATTGGAGAGTGTGCTCCGAGGGTTACGCCGAGCGTCGAACAGCACTTGAAATGGGATGGAACCACGGCAGACTGTCCAAAACTGGATTTGAACGGGTCCAAGAAGAAGAAGAAACGAGTGCTCAGGGACCGTCTACAAAGTGAAACTCCGAAAAAAGAGAATACAATAATATTCAATCACCATTATATAGCTCAGCGGTTTTCAAAGTGTGAGGCGCGCCTCCCCTGGGGGGCGCCAGAGAGCTTCAGGGGAGGCGCAGCGTGAGACACAAAAGAACGAGAAAAAGACGAGTAAAGTGACACTTGCCCACTTGTGGCTGTCTGTGGAGACCGAGTTCCCCCACCTCGCCAAAAAGGCTGTAAAAGTGCTCATTCCCTTCACCTCCCCCTACCTGTGTGAGTGCAGGTTTTCCGCATTGACTTTGATCAAAAGCAAGTACCGGTAAAGGCTGCAGCCAGAGGATGATCTGCGTTTATTCCTGTGCGCATCAAAGACGCAGACTCATTGTTCCCACTAAAGTAGGCTGAGTGTAATGAGGAGGCAAAGTTGACGTTCAGTGTGTTGCCTGGAGCATATAAGGATGTATCCACCATGTTGAAAATGTTAAAAATGTTTATAAAAACATAAAGATAAAAAGGTTTAAAAAAGTTATTGTTGAATGTTTTAAGGAGGTGACGCTACTCAGCCAATCAAATGGGTGCAGTCAGTGAGTCAGCACGATAGATGCAAACACACACACAGAGACAGAGGAGAGAAACAGTCGGAGTCATTTCAAATGGCGTGCTCAAAAAAGAGAAAACAGAGCATTTAATTAAATGTTCTCTTACTGGACCTCTTTGAAATGCAATTGAATACCCCTGCATTATAGCAACAACAACAACAACAACAACAATAAAAATAATACTAGCAATAATAATTGGGAGGGGGTGCGCGGCTGTTCTCATGTGCTCACCTTCCCACACTTTGAAACCCCTGTTTTAGACCGTTATAGCGCGTTTGCACCTCTCGGCCTCCGTATAAATCTGACGGACAATGTCTGTCTCACTGCAGAGTGAACTCTTCACGATGTCAGACACACACCGTTCGTCCGTTTAAAAATCATAAATAAATTGTATTTATTTATTTCATATTCATCTGAGCTTTTACGAATCCTCAACAGGATAATACATTCATAAAATGTTTTATGACAATTTGCAAATATAACAAAACATGTATTTTTCTGCTAGCCTACATTTAATTGACAGAAACAGCTGAGACGCTAAAAGGTGAAATATGCTTTCTAATCACTGTAATGTTCCTCCTAAATAATAAAAACGATGTTTGAACCCCCATTGAATCACAGAAACACCTCGTATTGAACACAGTGCCGTTACCTGGCACGGAGCTCTGGGCGATGATCACCTCGCTCGGGAGAACCAGGCTGGACAGCTTCTGCACCTCTGGAAGGAAATACAAATACAAGATATAATTAAAAATGGCACTTTAATAATAACAATAATAATAATAATAATAATAATGCATTTTATTTATGGGCGCCTTTCAAAGCTCTCAAGGAGACCTTACAGAGCATCATTAGAAACAAGCAACAAAGACGGTCAAACAGTAATTTAAGACTTTAAAAAAATAAATTAAAAACAACGATCACTTTAGAGGAATTATGATATAGAATACGCCAGTTTAAAAAGGTGGGTTTTCAGGCGGGATTTGAAGGTTGAGAGTGAGTCCATGTTGCGGATGTCTTGTGGGACAGAGCTCCAGAGACGGGGGGCAGAGCGGCTGAAGGCTCGTGACCTCACGGTGGTCCGGCGGGCAGAAGGTACATGAAAGCAGAGGAGGACCGGAGAGCACGAGAGGGAGTGGAGGTGTGAAGGAGTTCAGAGAGATATGGAGGTGTGAAGGGCCTCGAAGGTGAGGGGGAGCAACGTGTTGAAGTGGATGCGGTATTTAACGGGGATCCGGGGAGTTGTTGGAGACCCGGAGTGATATGATCAGTGGAGGGACTTCGGGTAAAGATACGGGCGTTTCTAAACTCCTCTGATCACATTGTATTATTTTAATAACTAAACTTGATCAGAAACACTAATGAACAATGTGACACTGCATTTTAACTCCATTCACTTTAACAGTTTAAAGTGGAACATCATCTTATTAATTAATATTCTGTGTCTTTATTCATAATTAAATATCTTCTTTACAGCATTAAATGTTACAGCTAAATGTTTTATTTTTACTGCAGAGATTGGTATTTCACACTCAATCAAATGTGTGTAATGTTGTAAAGTATATCCTATGTTTCTCTTATATAAAGAGGAAGTGTTGACCTGTACATTTGATTTAATTGATTATTGTTTATTAATTAATCTAAATAAGTCACGGTCCGGTTGAACGCCGTGATCTCGGCTCGGATCGAGAAAAATGAATTCCTTTATATAATTATGTAATCATGTCGTCACCGGGCTCCTGTTGCTCGTTAACTAATTAGCGAAATGTCCCAAAGAGTCTCTGATAGGTGATCACATCACCCCCATCACAACCCTTCTGTTCAAAAGAGCCTTTTCCCGGACCTTTTATTTATTTTGTATTGTTTTTTTGTACTGCTTTTTATTCATTCCACCGTGTTGTGTGCTGTTTTTATACTGTTCATGCTCACTGCTTGTAGCACTTCGGGATTTGAACTCAAATATGAAGTGCGTTATAAAAGAAACCCATTATTATTATTATTATTAATAAGAGGCTCGTCAGTCCCCACCTGCTCCCTGGCTAAATGACGCACTGCGTGCTAATAGAACCATCCTTCGGGCAGAAGAGCGGAAACGGTGGAAATCCAAACACCATGACAACCTCCTAACCTATCAGGCTCTCCTCTCCTCTTTCTCTGCTTCCATCTCTCAGGCAAAAAGCACTTTCTTTCAAGATAAGATCCAGTCTTCCTATCCCAATCCCCAAAAACTATTTTCCATCTTCTCCACCCTCTTGGACCCCCCAAAGCCCCTCCCCCCTCCTCCCTTCTGTCAAGCGACTTTGTTAACTTTGAAAAAAAGGTTGATGATATTCGCTCTTCTTTTTCTGACTCACCTTTACTCACCGCTGGGTCACCAGACNCCTCGGCCTAGGTGAAAGACGAGATCTACCTATTGCAGAATTGAGTGAAAAAGATGGCCCAGACAATGCTTCCAATTTGAGGCTTTTTATATAGGCTAATTGCAATTAGCCTATATAAAAAGCCTCAAATTGGAAGCATTGTCTGGGCCATCTTTTTCACTCAATTCTGCAATAGGTAGATCTCGTCTTTCACCTAGGCCGAGGTCGGTGATCTTGGGCTTAAAAAGGTTGGTGACCACTGATGTAGACGGTTCGGCCACAGGAGGCCGACAGGGAAACGTAGAAACGATAACGATAACGGGTCCCAAAGGGGGTAGATCTGCAGACTCAACGCTCTGGGGGGACCAAACGGCTCCGTGATTATGCCCTATACAATAAATTCCTGATAACGAAAATACTGACGGGCTGTCAGGAGAGGGGGGGAAAAAGAGAGACTCCATATATAGAGTCGTTATTCATTTGTTTTAAAGCTCAATAAATAACAAAGAAGACCTTTGACCGGCCCTTTTATAATTTTGTCCGGAAGATTTAAACTTTAGGGGCATGTTGACCGGCGAAAAAAAATTCTAACGGAAACTCTGCCGCACGGTTCCCTCGTCCCTTGGAAGAGGCGGAGAGGTGGGTGTTTTTCATCTGCTGGTGGACTACCGGAGAGATTTACAGCAGGAGCAAACGCTTGCCTCGGGGAGGGAGAAAAAGAGCCAGAGCCCTGGCCCCTGCCTCTGCTGCTAAATCCACCACGGAAAATAAACAGATGGCAACCATGCATGCTCTGGAAGTCTTCTTCGCTGCTTTCGGTGTATTTTGTGGCGGAAGTACAGCGCCACTTACAGGCCCGGCATATGTACTACAGCGTCTCCAGCGGGTCGAGCGGTCTCGTGTGGACGGACACGTTTCTGGTGCCGCTTGCGTGTGGACGGAATACTTTTTTGATATCGAATTCGGTTTGTTTTTGTTACCGTCTCTGTGTGGCTAGGGTCTATAAATGTGGATATAGAGAGGGGTATGACATGCACTGTTACCAGTCGGCTACCAAGGCGCTTTTTGTCATAGGGGAACCATGAGGGTATTTTCTCTTGTCTGAAAGAGGCCCTTTCCTGTATTGTGTTCAATAGTTTTTTATGCATGTAAATGGTCTGCCAAGGCTAAAATCCCTGTGCTCCCCCCAGAGGGAGTTTCTCTCCCTCACCCTGCCTGAAACGCCACCATTGCACTCCTTTATTTACTTCCATAACATAATGACATCACTATGTAACACTTGCGCTTCTATCGGCTAGTGCTCCAACGCATTGTACATGATAGTCTAAGGGGCGGGACATCTCTAAACTGTTGAACAATCACAACAGAGCCGGCCGGCTAACCAATCAGAGCAGACTGGGCTCTGGTTTCAGACCGAGGGTGAAAAGAGGTGCTGCAGCACAGGCAGTATGAGAAAAATAAAGAGCTTTTTGAACATTAAAGCATGGAGACACGTCACAGTAGACATACAAATATGAACCTGAAAAAAATTGCATAATATGTCCTCACTAATGACATTAACGAAAAGGTTTTGCCAGGATCATCTTTTTTATATTCTTTTTTCATCTGTTCTGCCGTTAGGGGGGACATGAGCAAAAACAACAATAACAGTTATAAAAGCTAACGTACCTGCATTGGATGACAGATGAGACTGAGGGTGGGGGTATCTCCAGGACTGCTGTTCTCCATCCGTCGGCTGTCCAGCAGCCCGTCAAACATCCCTCTGTCCTTACTGCTCCTGTCACTTGGCCCACAGCTGAAGAAGGAATGGGAGCTGTGGGGGGAGAGCAATTCAATAATTGGCAATACCTTCCTCCATTAAAATAAATTGTTATACTTTCAGCAAATATAAGTTAAAAGGCAAGATGAACATTTTAAGAGGGGCCACAAATTATTCCCATTCATTTTTAACTGGCTAACATTTGGATCTAAAAACACCTCAGTGCAAGACTAAGTTAGAATGGCTTGTGATTGACTGGAAAATTGCACTTTTGATAAACAAATGACACGTACTTATAAATTAATAGTATTAGTATTTAATTGTTTCTTTACATCCCCAGATGAAATTCAGAGTATTTTTCTTTGATATTATTACATTTTTCTACCATATGTTTTTTTAAACTTTTTATATGGTTTAGGCATTTAGGACCATCTCCTGTGCCAGTGAGGCGTGCACTGCTTACCCGTGGAACACCCAGGTCTCAGACTCATCCGCCAGGCTGACGTAGTTCTCAGGCAGCAGGCCGGACAGCCCTGAGCCCAGCGAGGTCCCGTACACCCAGCCCTCGCTGGTAATGCTCTGATCCACCGGAGACATGAAGACAAAATCTCCAGGAACCAGCTCCAGCTCATCCTCGTTCTGAGGCGAGTAGGGGTACATTACCCGCAGCGTCTGCAGAGGAACTCATTAACTAACGTAGTGACATTTACAACTCATAAATAGGCATCACTGACCTTGAAATATGTATGGTTTTGAATATTACCCACCTCATGGTTTGCAAAACGAATGTCCCGTGAAAACAAGACTGCCAGCCAATCACAGCCCAGCTTAACTTCAATGCCCTTGGCCAGTTTCTCCAGCGAAGGCAGGTGATTGGTGGGGAAGTTGTAGGCCAGTGTTACATGGAGCTGCTTCTTATGAGGCTCCACATGCACCTCTGGAAGAAAAAACGTCCGTGGTTCAAGAAGTTTCAGTAAGGTCAATCTTCCATAATCATCAGAGAGTCCAACCAGCGCTCAACATTTCCCCATCAGATTCAAAAGACACACTGATCTTTACCAGAAACAGAAATATGACAGTGCGTTAGTGCCAACACCATGGATCTAATCTGATTAAGCTCTGAGCTGCCTGAAATACTCTTTGGCAGTCAGTATCATTTTCGCCTGTGTTTAAAGGAGAGTTACAGCGACAGATGAGCGAGAGTTTTAATAACCCGCCACGACCGCCACCCTGACCAAACATTTACTTACATTGCTGGGAGAGACAGCCGGTCACCACACATTACACGGCCATGGTATAGTGATGAACTGATGCTGAACTCTATACCAGCGGTGAAAAGGAACCAAGTACATTTACTCAGCTACTGTAATTAAGTGCATTTGATGGTGCTTGTACTCTACATGAGTGTTTCCTGGGGCTGTCAAAGTTAATGTGATAATAACGCGTTAATGCAACTTCCTTTCATTTTGTCACTAGTTTTTGCACACATGTTTCTTGACCCTCAGCCCGCTCCATAGTTTGGGAAATCAGGCAGCAATGGTGCAATAAAGTTGTGAATGGCGAGCAAAAGAAAAAGCCTGAAATGTTTATAAAAGTATATATTTGTATAAGGCCATCATATTTGTCCATAAGTTTATTGAAAACATGGAGAAAATATCCCTTTAAGGTACATTTAATGTCCAATCTGCATAATGAATACTTGGTACGTGAAGTATTTTTTGATGCTAAAACTATTAATCTTTTACTGAAGTTACATTGTTAAGTAACAAAAAGACTTTTACTTGTAACAATTCCTAAACAAGTGGTAATCCCAGGGCATTGTGTTTATTTGATTCTTTATGTAAACAGGCAGGCTCATTGAGAGCAGAGTATGAAACACAAGCACACACATAATGAAGATAATGCTGTGTTGCGCTTCACTGCTAATGCTTGTTGAAGTGGCTGATTTCTGGCTTTAACTTATATAAAGCCACATGAGGTCAGGTGAGGCTGTCCAACACACTTTTCCCAAATAGAATGCATTGATATGTTGTTGAGTTCTTCTTAAACAAGATGATGATTTATTCAGCAATAAACTCTGGTTGACTCTCTGGGAAACAAAAGAAATCCAACTTCCAAATGTCACTACTGTAATCAGGCAATTGATTGTCAAAAATACTTAAAATAGTGTGCCAAATAATGCGATCTTCTTTGTAAAATAATGCGCCAAATAACGTGGTCAGAAAACTGTAGGCCCTCCGCCATCTTACTGGAGAACACTAAAATTATCTCGTCTATTTAAAGCCCCGCCCACCACAGGTGCCCACAATCAAAACATATTTATATAAATACTAGCTTTCATAAGTATATTTCAAACATGATATTTAAACTCAAAATATATCTAAGATATGCTCAGCTTAAAAGGCCCCAATACTTGTGCTTCCTACCTGCCTTCTTGGCGGCCTCTGTGGAGAAGTCAGCGGCAAACTGCTTGAGGATGTCGGCCACCGTCTCCTCCACGAACAGGCCGATGAAGTTGGAGGATGTGTAGAGCTCCAGAGGCAGAGGGCTGGGGAATCGACCCCGCCACTGCTGGACGGACGCCTGCAGGGCCTCACACAGGTCTTCCACTTTGTGGTCTGCACACTGTGTGGAAGGAGGGTTCATGGGAAATTGGAAAATGTAAAAAAATTGTTCTTTGTTGTGCAGACAGAGGTGAGTTAGGGTAATGAAGTACATGTCTGAAATAGTCATAACACACAGGATGCAATCACAGTCCAACTGATATTAATGAGCATTATTTATTGTCCTTCGTGAAGCTGTACAACTCACCATGAAGAACTGGCAGAGGGTAATGTGGGGGAAAATGTTGTGTGCTTTGTTTTTGCCACATGTGACGCGGCTCTGCTGCCAGAAGTGTGAGAGCTGGTTCTGCAGGGGTCCGCTGGGCCGCAGGTAGAGGACAAACTCCCTGGGCAGAGGGTCGTCCAGGAACGGGTCATCTACATGAGAGAAGAGCCTGGAGGGAGAGGGAGCAAGCCTTCAGTTACTTTGAAGCTTCTATTGAGGTTTAGAAATGATGCTTCAAATGTCTGTCATTATTATAATAATAAAGTTATTCGATTCATTCGAGTACAATGACTGGGGCAAGCAGATGCGCAAAGTGGGGCAATACAAAATTGATTGAAGCAGAATATATTATTTTTTAAAATATTTTTTGTGCAACCAGTCCCTTTATTATAGAGATAAAATAGTAATGGGGAAGCAGAAGCGACAACATGCGTAAAATGGTCCCTGGCCGGATTGGAACCAGGGTCCTTCACTTGGCGCTACAGTACATGGGCAGCCAGCTAATTCACACTATTGGTCTTTACAACACTCGGGAGTTTTTTTAAATGTTCACATTTGCCTGAATCATGCATATGCAGCTACAACTTGAATCTAATTCTACAAATAGTATCATACTTATAATAAGTTCAAGATCCACTTTAATTAATCCCAAGGGAGAATTCAGTTTTTCCCTCTGGTGTAATTTTATAATTACACATAGGACCTATAGACATGCACTGATGGAAAGGTGTCAGAGTGAAAGGGCTGCCAGTGTTCCGGCGCCAGTGAGCAGTTAGGGTTCAGTGCCTTACTCAAGGACACCTTGGCAGTTCACAGGAGGCGAACTGGCACCTCTTCAGCTACCAGTCCACACTCCGTATATTTTTGGTCCAATCGGGACCTGAACCGGGGACCCCTCAGTTCCCAAGCTGAGTTCCTTCCAGACTGAGCTACTGCGTCCCATATTGGTCTATCCTACTCCTTAGATGCAAAAATACCAGCTTCAAACACAATTCATATGAATAGACGTACAAAATACATTTAAAAGCATTTGAATGTCTATGTTATGAACAAAACATTGAGGCTTCTGACTCTTCAGTACAGCTCTTTCGATGGTAGCATCACTCTCCCTTGAGGTCAATGACAACAAACATTTTAAAAGAACTCTCTGGCATTCAATATTCCAATGATCCTATTTGCTCTACAATAACTTTGTTCTGCCAAATGCATTCAAAATATGCAACATGCTTCAATTTACCAGCACTTTGATAACATAGTGTGTAAATTATTTTTCTAATTTGGTGACATTTCTTATCACAGATATTTGTATTAAATCTGTTGAGAGGAAGCTAATGAAACTATTAAATGTATCATTATTAATATTATATTTTGTATTATTATTATTATTATTATTATTATTGTTATTTATTTGCCTACAGAGGTTGCATTTCATTTCTCAAAAGTAAGAGGGCTGCTCGAAAGGAATCAATAAAATCATTATTTCTCAACAATATACACAGGATAAACTGTACCAATTTGTACAACAGAGGGCAGTATAACACACATTTTCCGTAACTTTGGATGGGTCGATAAACTATACATAAATGTAATGTTTTCACTCACCAGTCACATGCTGCTTGAACACTCCGACCTCCTGTTGATACCAGAGCTTTCAGTCTGTAAGAGAGCAAAGCAGGAAAAGAAAATCTCATTATTTTCACATTACATGTTATTTAGCTGACACTGTAATCCAAAGCAACTACAACATACACTTCAATTTCCAGACATGCCTAAGAGAGCAATTCAGGGTTAAGTATCTTGCCCAAGGAAACGTACAAATGTTGGCTACAGGTCATTTTAACACACTGAGAATTTTCATCTACATTGTAATCATGTATAGAGTGAAAATATGCGCAGTAATAGAGTTTGAATAGCCAGCAAGGAGAAATGTGGAGAAGATACTTATATCTGAAAGAAGTTAATCACTGATCTTCTCTTTTCAGGAGTTTTCTGGCAGATAAAAGAAAAACTGTCTTGGATCCACACCTACAGTGGGGCAAAAAAGTATTTAGCCAGCCACCAATTGTGCAAGTTCTCCCACTTCAAAAGATGAGAGAAGCCTGTAATTTTCATCCTAGGTAGGTACACTTCAACTATGAGAGACAGAATGGGGGGAAAGAATCCAGGAAATCACATTGTAGGATTTTTTATGAATTAATTGGTAAATTCCTCGGTCAAATAAGTATTTGGTCACCTACAAACAAACAAGATTTCTGGCTCTCACAGAGCTGTAACTTCTTCTTTAAGACTCCACACAAGATCTCACCCCGTGGGGTCAAAACGATCACAAGAACGGTGAGCAAAAATCCCAGAACCACACGGGGGGACCTAGTCAATGACCTGTAGAGAGCTGGGACCAAAGNATGGGCTGGGATCGAACCCACAACCTTCTGGTTGAAAGACGACCACACTCCCTCACAGCCACAGTCGCCCAAAATATACGATTTTTTTCAACAACTCATTTGTATTTCTTCATTTACTGTATATCTATATACTCAAGCAATCTTTCTCTGCAGAAACCTCTATGTACAGAGCATGAAGTGTGTTATATTTGGTGCAAAAGTTTGCATTTGGTAAGTGTTTATGTAGTTTTTAGTGCAGTTCTTCACTTAGCAGGAGAAATTAGGTGTTTTGCACTTTGGGTGTGTGGTTTTGTGAATTGTGTTTAGTGTTCTGAGAAACTGAGCAATTAAAAAAAAAATGTGTGTTAGCAACCGGGTCATTCTACAGAAAAGGTGGAAGTGCTGTCACTTACTTTTGCACACACCAAAATACATGACGTTGACCTAATACTCACATTCATTATATATGTTGAATAAATAGAGATTGTCTTTGCAATGGTACTAAATAAAAAATTAATAAAAAATGGTTTTATACGTAAATTGCCATTTATTTAAAATGCCAAGTTCAAGGAACTGCCTTGTTACTTTGATCATACATGGAAGTGGAGCCTATAGTTTTAATTTAAAAGATTTTTTTTTCAATAAATAAATCTAATTTATATTTACATAACATTACGAGCATCAAAAACTGAAATGGTAAAAAACGCAAATTATTATTAATAATATCAAATAAATGTCAGTCACCCAAAATTACGTCATTGGTGTTACTGCTACACAAAACGCTTTTATTTTTGAAATAATGTACTGTCTCTGAAGTGCCTCCTGTAACAAGAGATCATTTGAGGCAGTGCAGTGGACAAAGACATAAGGAAAGTCAGNTTAAATATAACACTGAAATGGTAAAAAAAAACGCAGATTATTATTAATAATATCAAATAAGTGTCAGTCACCCAAAATTACGTCATTTGTGCTACTGCTACACAAAACGCTTTTATTTTTGAAATAATGTACTGTCTCTGAAGTGCCTCCTGTAACAAGAGATCATTTGAGGGAGTGCAGTGGACAAAGACATAAGGAAAGTCAGATACTTCTTACTTTGTTTGTTAAAGGTGTCATTTTATCTTCAAATTTGACGTGCGTCTTTCAAGTCTGTCTGTTACTCATTGCATAGCCCTAGGGGTGAACATTTGAATGGGATAATGTATTGTATTGAAGAGTTAAACTATTTTGATATTGACTGAAGCCATATTTGGTCTGACACATTGCAGCCATTTTGTTAAAATGGTAGTGTTTTCTCCAAATTGTCACTGGTGTTACCGTGGTGTTACTCTTCTTCCTGGTAACACGTAACACCAGTGACATTCCTATACAAAATATGCTTTGTATAATGTATACAAATGATAAAAACACTTTAAGCTCTAGCCTACTTGTTGTGGATTCATCAAGTTAAGAGTTAGTTATTGCTATTTAACAGGTTTTAGATGTGTTTAGAAGGAATATATTTCAGCAGATTTGTATCACCCAGATTCCACCTTTTCTGTAGAATGACTCAACACCATTAAACAGTTACACAACATAACAGAAATAATATCGATAGCAGCGTCCTTAGCAACCACCTTGGTAACAATGAAAACGTTGAATGGACACAATTTCCTGAAGTAATCTTCGTAATAACTAGCAAACTAAAGGTCATGTACATCCACTGCACACATAATCTGAAATAACAACTCATATTTCTAACATCAAATGACATCAAAACGCATTTTAATGGCCAAACTAACTTTAAAATAGGCATTTTCCACCGAGAATAAAACGAAGTTCGGCCATGTTTTTTTTTTCTGCAAGGAGAAATTTGAAGATCACGTGACATAGACGCCAGCTATTGGAATTAATGGTGAAAAAAACGTAGGGATCCTACAATTTCAGAGGCGTTTTTGTAGAAATACTACGTCCTACGTTGTGGACCAACGTAGTTATTAGACGTTTATTATTACACGCCATAGTTTATGGGCGCTGTTTTTTTTTGGCGCCCCCGATGGGTTGATGCCCTTAGCATTCGCCTATACTGCCTATGTATGCCAAGGGCCGGCTGAAAAACAGCATGATAGGAGACATTTAAAGGTTAATAAGTTATATATGTGTTTTTTTGTTATGTACTGGGAAGGAAAAAAAAGTTAACAGATGTCCATGTTTTTGTTTACGTTAGTGGAAGTAATTGGATTTCCATGAAAAGAGATGTCAGATAAACGCAGCTTCCCTCTTGCTCCCTGTGAAAAAAGGCCCAGAGCGACATTGAGTTGGCAGACGCTGCCAAGGCTTAAAGTGACCTGGAGCTCTGAACTGACTATATTTACCCCTCTGTCACAGACAAACACACGCAAACAAGTATGTAGAGTCAAACACAGTAAGACGGATAAACATAATGTATTTCATATCTCATCCAGACATCTCATATAATAAACTAAGCTTGATGAAGCACACACTCATACTAGAGCTTATTAAAAAAGTACTATGACCTTTGATTACATAATGAAAAGTGTCGTCATCGATTACGTCAAAACGAAATTCTGAAAACACTTTTGATACTAAAAATAAAAAAGAGTGTGTGTGTGTGTGTGTGTGTGTGTGTGTGTGTGTGTGTTTGTGTCTGTGATGCTTCTGACCCATTTAGGGCCTCCTGCTCAGCCAGATGAGCAGATGAATGTTTTTTTGCCTTCGGCTACTCAGCTCAGGCACATCTGTGGCAGACTGCAGCACTGGAGGCTGGACCTTGACCATGTGTGTTTGTGTGTGTGTTGATTTTCTGAACTTGAATGTATGTGAACTTAGAATTATACATTTAGAAGGCTGATATTCATGTTTTTAAAGCAATGTATGCTCAATATGTGCATGCTTTTAAACTGTTGGGGTTTTGGATTCCACACACACACACACACACACACACACACACACACACACACACACACACACACACACACACACACACACACACACACACACACACACACACACACTATTATTCTGGATTCACAAGGACACAGGAAGAAAAGGATAAGACAAAAAAAAAACCTGCAGTGTTAGTGTTTTACCACTAGCTGGCAGCAGACTATTCTACTGATTTGATAATCATCAGTCTACAGGTTCCATCTCATAGCAAGACAACGCATATGTGTATAACCTCCTGACAAAAAAAGGCAAAAGGACATTTAGAAAAAGATATAGAACCAACTTATTATTACCAACTTATTATTAAGGTTTATTCGCCACTAACTGATGTGATTTAATATTTATTGATCAAATTTAATAAAGCGATATGTTATTTCGGAACCAGGAAGATATGTTTTGGCATCTTTGTATTTGAACATGTTCTTCCATGAGAAATGCGCCTCCTCATGAAAATCTTAATAAATTATCAAATGCCTGGGGACAACCATAACATTTACATTTTTGTTGGAATTTGTTTCTCAAAAATGTACAATGTCAAGAATATTGAATCTCATCTCATTATTTTATTTAGTTAATAAGGTTTTTCATGAATTATCTCAAGGTTTTGACCTTAAATTAAGTAATGGAACTAGTTAATGAGGTAAGTACCTAATCATTGTCATACACAACATCTAACATATTCAGTTGCCAGACAGTAGAATGAATATTTTGCAGGTTCAGATTGTGTCTCCTGGTGGCGAGTGCCCACAAATCTTAAACATCTGCCAGGTGTCACCATCAGCTCCAACCATCTGCTGGTCCAGGTGGGGGGGAGTGTGTACGATGCAGAGTGTAAGAGGTGGCCGACTTTTACACCCTCTAACCTGCACACAGAAGCTAACACACGCTGAACAGGTATATCCCAGAGATGACTCAAGAAAATGTTCTAGTTGTTGTTTTTTACTGGCCACGACGAGGACGTTTAACAACCCTGTTATGAAACTGGGGTCCCTTAATTAGAATTTTTTAATTGCTGCAGGGATGTATGGCATGGTCACACATCTAAAAAGGCAGGCCTGCCCTTGTGATGTTCAAACTTCATTAGTTAAAGCTGCTTCACTGGGCTCACTGTTGTTGCTTCATATTGGCATGCTTTTATGTCCATCCACCAGATTCACAATGGAAAATCTTTATTCTCACCCAGTTGTTTACAATGAAATGCTAGAAGACTTGAAATTATATTGATGAAATGCCATTTGAACTTCAAGCTTTTTAAAACCGTTATCTGCCAATATAAAGTCTGGAGTTGGAATATTTTGTGTGAAGAATTTCAAAGGAACGCATTTTCCAAAACGTAATGATTTTGTAGGACAGTTACCGAAAATACAATAAGAACTATAAAGCCTACCTTTATCTCGACCCATTGTGACTGTATTATTTCTACTGTGGCATTTTTAAACTGTTCTCAATCCAATTGGATTTTTTTATGACAAATAGATCTTAAAATGTTTTCATCTCCAATTTTGCAATTATTTACCCTATCAGTTTTTCTTTCATTTTGTTCTTCGACACTGTCCTGTGACAAAAAATGTGAGCATCAGTCAAAATGGAAATGGGAAAAGCAATCTTCCATTTCAACGTTGCATGTTCTTTTTCTCAGTGTCTAGTTTAACTTCTCTTTTGGTTTTACCTCCAGATACAATATATGGTTTCTAATCTAACTGTGTTTCTGTGTCACATCAAACTTTGTAGCAATGCAATGTTATCACAACTAATGAAGATAAAGGCCTAAAAACAATTTACAGTATGTACCATCCAGTGTTTTCTTTGAAAGGTGCCCTATTATGCTAATTGTCAGGTTCATATTGTGTGCCTCTACTGGGACATGTCTCCATGCTTTAATGTTAAAAAAGTGCTTTTATTTTCTAATACTACCACCTCTTTTCTATTCACCCTCTGTCTGAAACCAGAGCCCAGTCTGCTCGAATTGGTTAGCTGGGCGGCTCTGTTGTGATTGGTCAACTTTACCCAAAAGTGTAGTGATGCCATTATTTTACTGAAGTAAACAAAGAAGTCCGATGGAAGAGTTTCAGGCAGGGGGGGAGTGTGTGGGAGAGGAACTCACAGCCTTTACAGACCATTTACATGCACAAAAACATGTAAACACACTACAGGAAAGGGAAACCCAAAACAGCGCAGTCAATTAAGCAAATAATCTAAAACATCATATTTATTTTCAAGTAGCAATGATTATTAGTGGAACTAGAAATTAAATCAGTCAGGACAATATGCATCCCCTAACCTAAACAAAGTAGGTGTTTTAACCAGAAATCAAGTATTCATATCATTTAATCATACATTTTGTTAATCTTAACAAATGTCAGCCATGCTGGGATCTAATCCGACAATGTTACGTGTGGAGGGCAACTAAGTAACTCCGTATCTAAAATAACTTGTATAAAAGTTTTTCTCAAACATAACTTTTTGCATTATTTGAAACTCATGCACTAACACGTAACATGTTATATTCCAATTTTCACATAGATACTTTGCTGGTTCCAGAATCATGACTGACATACAGAACCTGTTATTCTCTCTTCTGTCTATTTCCTGCACGTGCACGTACACGGTCACATAATCACATTTTCACCCCCCTCCGTCGTCCTCAATGCTGCTCGTCTCCTCTTCTCTCGCTGATGGAGTCAGGCTCAGGGAGGGGAGGGGGGGTGGATCTCCTGCTGACTGTCATCAGCCAAAGCTTCTCCTACACAAATACACACAAAATAACACACAAACACATCTATCTATCTATCGTGCCCTCCTGCAGAAGCCAATATTAGGCAGCTAGCACTTTATTTATTTGTATTACCACACCATGAGATCAGATTAAAGGAGGTTTATTGTCCGTCGCTCTTCAAGAGCCTGAGAGTCCTGATTTTAATTTGACTCTGTTCTCTGAACTGTTCAATATTGAAAACATCAACTGTTGATAAAAGGATCCTCATAATAAGAGCTTTACAACAGCAGACACACAAACACATGATCAGAAGTTATCTCTCTGTAAATTGAGGCATCTGAAATCCTTCCCTGTTAATGGAGCGGTGTGGTATACATTGAATCAGTCAATCATTCTTTATGTGTCTGAACTGTTATACATTACATTAAAGCTTTTTCAGATGATAGAAACTTGACAGGCTTTCAACAGTACACTTACATGAACCCATGTAGTTGCTGCTTTTCTGTTTCTAGAACTCTGTTCTGTAGTCCATTAAAAACATGAGGGTCAGAAAGATAGGATCTTATTAGATAAATGCTGTAGCTCTCAGTATATTAAGGTAACTCAGTCTGATCTGCTCTGTAAACTGTGCAATATCTTGGTTCAGTTCCTATTCTTAAACATAGTCTTTCTTTAATTGTAGAAATAAGCATCAGAAGCATATTTTACTGAGACGTCTGAATGTAAACGGAAATCAAAACCAGTCTGTTCCTACTGAAAGTTATACTGTATGGCCGTAGAAAAAATGAAAGATCAGTCGGATAACTCATAATTCAGTTGGAGTATGAGGGGCCATTAGCCAAGTTAAAATGGTTTATTTCAACTGGGTATTTTTTAGTTGTTCTGGTTACATTGTACCCATCAACGTCAACGCAGAGATCTCATAATGCAGCGTTGTAGGAAATAACTATAACAGTGCAACAGACAAGAAGGAGAGAACTAAGGCACATGATACAATTACAAACCTCTCTGAGAAAATATAAAGCTGCATCTGCTGGCTAAAACACATATTTCTAAATCTTAGACTCTTGCAGCAAAGTGGAGTTGTCATTTAGGGTTAAGGAGCTTTCATAGTGCCGATCTGGATCATGGATTTTCCAATTGCATTCACTGTAACTCACCTGAGTCCAGTTCAGACCGTTCTATTGGATTTCTGTCCATTCCACTCCAGTCTCCACAGTCCAGCCCAGAGACAAAAAGAGGCATGACAGCTGGCTAGTAATTACACTGCTGGCCCCGGTAATGTGATTTATTAGGTCAGGCTGAAGAAGCTACTAAGTCACTCAGCCAGGCAGTGCAAGAAAGCGTTCCCAGTCCTCGCACTCTGACAGGGAAATTCACTGCCTGTGGCACCCTCTGGTGGAAGGAACCCTGAAGTGCACCCTGCATCTAAAAACATATGGTCATTATATACGTATCTGCTGCCCTCAGCTGTGAAATGAAGATTGAAGAAGAAGAAGATTCAACTTATTGTCATTAAGTAGTACAGGTACTATGTAAAAAAACGGTTTCTCTGCATTTGACCCATCCTAGTGTTAAGAGCAGTGGGCTGCCATTAAGTATGGCACCCAGGGAGCAGTGTAGGGAACGGTGCCTTGCTCAGGGACACCTCGGTAGCACTTGGTCTTTCTGGGACATGAACTGGTGACCATCCAATTGCCAAGCCAAGTCCCTATGGACTTCGCCACCACCGCCCCAAATGAGACTATAGGTGAGGTGAGGTGATGAATCTCATTTATAACTGAGGGAGGCAGATGATTCCTGTCAGCAGGAAACACTGTAGGCCTGATCTCTGTAAAAGTGTTCTCCATCTTTTCCTCTTTGAATTGATAAGACATGTCGATAAAATGTAGAATTGCATATACTGTATGGCCATTTAGTTTAGCTCTATAGTGATCTTAGCTATTGCCTCTCCTCTCAGGAGCTGAATCACTGTGTTGCTGCAGCAAATGTCTTGATCAATTCTCATGCCAAAACGTCCTATAAATCTTCAGTGTCTGACCTCAGTTCTAGCTCTCCGATGCTCTCCTTGTGTTTTGAGTCCTTGATCAGCCAGAAGTATTCTGTGTCCTCCTGCCAAAAGTGTATACGAAAGGTATTGCTGAAAGACAAGTTGCAATGATTTTTCTCTAAAAGATTGGTGATCTTAAAAATGTTCTGTTCAGATTCAAAAAGATTCAAAGGTTTTATTGTCATATGTTTGTCTACAGTGTAGACATTACTATGACATTCTTCTGACCTGAGCTCCTCCAACAATGCAACATATATAATAACATACAAAAATACAAATTAAAAAGTAGTGCAAAAAGTGTCATTAGGAAGCCCCATATGCTAGATTACTACTAGGTTGGTTTAACAGACTGGTGAAATAAACAGTTCTGAAACCCATGCCCATTTTAGTTGATGTATTTTAGGCCTGGGGCTTTGTATGAAGTTCATACTAGGCCCTATTCCATTTTCTAATAATTGTAGCCTCAACGCTACAGCATATAATTATGTTTTGGACATGGACATTAGCGTTTCTCTATCTGAATGGCTGTACTGTATTTTTCTTCTTTTTTTGTTTCTTCCCTGTTGGCCTCAGCCAGTCCATCATCAGGCGTTCCTTTCACTTCGCCTCCATGTTTTTAGAGACGCTTCATTCATGGTACATTTTCCCTACATCTCAGGCCGCAGCACCCCATCAGCTGCCTGATACTTCAATCAATGATAAATCAGCTCATAGCTTCCAAAGGAACGGAGGGGGGTCGAGGGTCGCACGGCGCTCAGTACAATGTAAGGTTTGCAATCACACCTGTGGGATGGCGATGTGTATCATGAAGATAGGTATGACGCATGAAAGGCTATTATTCATGTGAGGGTGCACAAGAGGATTTCAATTATAGTAATGTCAGACTTTGTAGGTGGATGTCACAAAGGAGGTTTTTGAGCATATACAGTGTTTGTCATTGTGTGTGTATGTGTGGTAAATTGTGGGTATGTCACTCCTAGTTTTTTTCACTTTGAATCCCCATCAGAGGACATCAAGGAGCTGATGTGGAGTATGAACTCCACCCAGAGTGCCCTCCTCAGGCTAGTGGGGGGATTATTATGTAGACTGCCAAGTTAAAAGGGTCAATAAGCTCTTTATTGCACCATAGCTCACAATGACCATAATATTATATCTGTAGAAGCTTGATAGGTGTATTGATCAATACAAATAAGTGAGTGGGTGCTTTTAAACTGCCTTGAATGGTTTATTGTAAGTGTTAGAAGTTAAAATAAACTGCTGTCAAGGCATTTCTTTGTAATGTATTTTGGTTGGATGACTGCTTTAATTTGGTTGGTTAGTTGACGTACTGTATACAAGACAACACAACTCCATCTACTTTAAACATATTGGTTTATTCTTTGAATCAGTGTTTCTGCATATGATTGTGAATAACTTACACGCATTGCATATGCATTCTGTTATTTTTTCTCATCAGCTATTTCCACAGTATTGTAATTATTTTAACCCCAGGTAAGCTTCATCACTTTAAACCAAAGCCAATTACAACATATGTTTGGCTGTATTCAAGTGTGTTTGTGTGCAAATTGAAAATATGCAAAGTAATTTTCTTTTCTTATTTATTTCAAGGCCATCGGAATTCACATCAATAATATGATAAGGTGATTGTCAGGGATTAAGATTTATGTGTGTTTATTCAGTTATTAATTCACAAGGTGAGTGTAGCCAAAACAAATAAATAGGTTTAACTTGGAGTGCATTTACCCATGAGCGTATAGACTCAACAATGTGCAATATAATATAGCATATTTTTTATAATGAAAGAACCCAATTAAAAAGCTTTGACACGTTGTGTGGGACGTCTTCGGAGGTGAGTCTCAAACTTAATGCCAAGGAGAAGAGGTGGAAAGTGGAGGAGTGGTGCATTCATTCACTCTGCAGCGCACTTTCTTGTTTCATGATTTAACAAGTTCTCAAATTAATAGGAGTAATGGCCTTAACAGGATCCCCAAAAAAGAGTTGAGGAAGGAAACACTCACAAAATGCACAACTTCACAAAATGCACAACTTTGGTTCCAAAATAGGCGATCCCCTATTGAAAGAATGTTACAAATCGCAATTAAAAGCAAAATCTGTCATGAAAATTCATCTTGTTTGAGTTTCATTAAGATGTTTGCAGATTAACAGGCTATAAACTTCTTCTTGAAAGAATATCCACCCTCAGGGTGAGCAGAGCCAAGCCAAGATGACCATTCAAGAACTTTGAGGTGTCTCTCCAACAAACTCTCTGTACGGTTTCCTCTCAGTCTACGGAAAAGTCCTTTGACGGTCGACCAAGCTCTTTCTATATGTGACTGCCAGTCTGGGGGTTCACCAACCACCTGCTGGGGTTTGTGGTGTAGTGGTTGTTCCCCATGTTACTCAGCACTCTCATGTATGCCCTCCACTCATTACTAATAATGTTACTTCCTGACTTAACACGCCGTCTAATCAGAGGGACAAGGTGGCATCTTGATTGTTTCCCACTAGTTTCAACACTAATCTCCGCCTTTTGTCTTTAACTCCCATCATTCCGAAGACCCATTTCTTCCTTCTCCAGGTATGTCCAAAGCGTCCACGTGCATGTTAACAAAAAATAAATCATCACATCATCTTAGTTAACAAAAGATTGCACACAAATTACAT